TTATGTTGGATGATGTGTTGGAGTCGCATTGTTTGCTTCGATGTGAGCAAAAGAGGTGAACAGAAGTCTCTTAAGGAATGTTTGTTTGGCATGTGATGTTGGATACGATCATGGAGTCGCAACGTTTGCTTCGAAGTCAGCAACAGCGATGAACAGAAATCTTATGGTGAGTGTTCGCTTGCCATGTCATGTTGGATGACGTGATGCACTCGCAAGGTTTGGTTCGAAGTTAGCAAAAGAGTTAAACAGAAATATTATGGTGAATGTTCGCTTGCCATGTCATGTTGGATGACGTGATGCACTCGCAAGGTTTGCTTTGAAGTGAGCAAAAGAGGTGAACAAAAGTCTGATAACGAATGTTCGCTTGGCATGCAATGTTGAATGAGGTGATGGAGTCGCGAGGTTTAGTTCGAAGTTAGCAAGAGAGTTAAGCAGAAGTCTTATCGTGAATGTTCGTTTGGCATGTGGTGTTGGATGAGGTGTTGGAGTGGCAATGCTTGCTTCGAAGGGAGCAAAAGACGTGAACGGGAGTTTCGTAAGGTATGTTCGTTTGGCATTTGATGTTGGATGAGATGATGGAGTCGCAAGGTTTCCTTCGAAGGGAGCAGGATAGATGAACAGACGTCTGGTAAGGAATCTTGCTTTCCCATACGATGCTCGATGAGCTGACCGAGTCGCAAGGTTTGGTTCGAAGTGAGCAAAAGAGGTGAACAGAAGTGTTATGATGGATGCTCGTTTGATATGTGATGTTGGCTGAGGTGATGGAGTCGCAAGGTTTGGTTCGAAGTGTGCAACAGAGGTGAAGTGAAGCCTTATCATGAGTGTTCGTTTGGCATGTGATATTGGATGTGGTGATGGACTCGCGAGGTTTCCTTTGAAGGGGGCAAAAGAGGTGAACAGAAGTCTTTTCAGGAGTGCTTGTTTGGTATGTGATGTTGGATGAGATTGTGGAGCCCCAAGGGTTGGTTCGCAGTGAGAAAAGAGGTGAACAGAAGTCTTATGGTGAACGTTCTTTTGGCATGTATTTTTGGATCGGGTGATGGAGTCGCAAGGTTTCTTTTGAAATGAGCAAAAGAGGTAGACAGAAGTCTTTTCAGGAATGTTTCTTTGGCATGTCATGTTGGATGAGGTGATGGAGTCGCAACGTTTGCTTTGAAGTGAGCAAAAGAAGTGATCAGAAGTCTGGTAAGGAAT